ACGTTGACTTTAAATTTTTATTATTTCGTTGATGACAGAGTGGTCTACGAGCCAATTCGAGTTAAAAAAACCAAACAGCTATTAAAAGTTTATTTTTACCGCAATATAGCTATAATAGTTTTGATTAAAAAAAGTATTTTCTACTCGATAAAATCCAATTCTCGAGGATGTTCTGGAATAATTAAATATGTAGTGACTGACCCGTATAAGAGCCATCTGGTAACCAATGTAAGTTCATTAATCAGGACATGCCTATGTAATCCGGATAAATAATCGAGGGCGCAGTTACCTGGCTTTCATACTAATCATTTGACGTATCAATATTGGTATTATTTATCAAAGTTTACTATAAGTTGGCCATCTAAATACTCCTCGATTAGTTAATTCACTATGCCAGAATAATAAATTGTTTCAATTTTCACTATACAAATGTCCAATCAAACTTGGGATTAATCACATGTTGCAAATAAAAAAAATTTTTTAGAAATAGATTTTTCTATACAGAATAAAAAACTTAGGACGCGCTTACGCAATGACTAATGACGTGTACACGTAATAAACTGTACGTATGTTGTAACAGTATCACAAGTTATAAAAGACCATCGGAGTAATTTCATTGTTAAATTCATTATCGTTATAATTATCGTTATATTTCATAATGGCTTCGAACGTTGTAGTTTTACTTGCTAATGGCAAAAAACAGACTGTGAAGACGACACCTATGATGCCGTTGAAACAGATTGTCACCGTTGTTTGTGAAAAGCAAGGATACAAGGACACAGAGAGTTATGGGCTAAAGTAAGTTAATAATCTGATCTGTGATTTTGTCATTACCTTCCGTTACCCACTTTTACCCACTTTTACGCATGCAAACACGCATATATATGCTTTCGTTTATTTTTACTACTTAGGTTAAACAAAACGACACTCGATCTAGGACTTTCTGTAAGATATGCAAATCTCGCGCCAGGCGCCAAATTAGATTTTATCAAAGTTTCTGCACCAAAAGGTAAATATAATAAAGCATCAAAAATCTAATAAATCTGATATTTCTTATTTTACTATTTTTAACCATCTTCTATATATTAGTTCATAAAGATGTTCAGATTGCTTTGCAATTAGACGATGGTGGAAGAATGATTGATAAATTTCCAATAACAACATCTATTTGGGATATACTACTACATTTTGAAAAAAAGTCCGATAATGGGTAATTATATACGTTCAGGAAACATTATATTCTAATATTAAACGATGTATTAAAAATGTGTTCAAATTTTATCAATTACTTAATTCAGGTCTTTAAACCTTACAAAGCGAACTGCGCCTGCACCCAAAAAAAAGGGATTTCTAAAAAAATTGAATAAATCAAATGATATACAATTTTATATACAACCCGTGTGTTTAATATTAAATCAAGAGGTAATCTCCATGATTCAATTAAATAATATTTTATTCATTAAACATAAAATAACTTTTTTTTTTTTTCATAGTATGGAACCATATCGTCATTGAAATCCACAACTTTACAATCTGCTGGAATCACATCAGGAAATGCTGTATTACGTCTTCTATTTAGACAAACTGAATCGACACTAGATGATGTTCTAAAGGATATTGAAACTCCTCTTCAAACTTCTGAAGTTTTAGAGTCAGTTAATGCACCTATAGAAATAACATCAAAAAATGTACCTGCCAAGACTCTTGATGAACAATCGAAGGCGCAAACTGACACTATACCCGTACTTGATAAACAACCAAAGGAGCCGACTAATACTGTGAATGTTCCTGATGAACAACCGAAGAAACAGATTGTTACTGTGAATACTCCTGACGAACAGTCGGATATGCAAATTGATACTGTAAATACTGTGGATAAAGTTGATGAACAACCGAAGAAACAGATTGATACTGTTAATACTCCTGACGAACAGTCGGATATGCAAATTGATACTGTAAATACTGTGGATAAAATTTATGAACAATCTGAGATGCAGGTTGATACCCAAAATGATGATTCTGTAACAAAAATAGAATCTATTTCGAATATATCATCATCTGATATACAAATGGAGGACACAAATAATACAACAAAATTGGATCATACCGTTGAAGAGGAAGAATCACATGACATACAACTAATAAAAAATAATGTGCCAGAAACGACTCAACCATCAATTTCATCAGTTACTCAGGAAAACATTGATCAGGAAGATTATGTTATTACAGATAAAGGACATTTTGATCGTGATATAAAAGTATTTAACCCACCACCAGAAAATGCTTTGATGTCAAATACAAGTAAGACTTAGTGTTAACGCAAATTACTATATCGTATATTATATATCTCTTTTTTTTTATAAGTATTTATTAATTTTTGTTATTTAGTCGACCTTCCGGATTCTTTTTATGAGTTAACTGCGGCTGAACTGCAATATTTATTAGCAAAACAAACCATGAAACATAAAATGGCAGAGAATGCAGGGTTTAAGACTAGTGCTATACGAGCTAAAGAAGAGAAAGAAAGGGAACGCAAGTACCCAAAGGTCATTATTATACAACATAATTTTATTTCATAAATGTGATGGCAATACTTATAGTTATTATTATTATTATTACAGACGTTGATCAGAGTTAAATTTCCTGATAGTTTCCAATTACAAATTGCCTTTTTATCTAAGGAACATGGTATTGTTACATTGAATGATTATATGATAAAGCAAGCAAACCTTCATACATCAAGAATTGATATTTATTGAATTTATAGTCACGGATTTATATGAATTTGTTAAGAATGCATTACGAACGCCCGATCGCGAGTTCGAATTGTGTATGCTTTTATTTCTAAAATTTCATAAATTAGTGTGATCCATCATATAAGTAATCTTAAACAATTAAATTATAGACGTTAGTCCACCGAAAAAGACTCTTTCGGATAAGGGTCTTACCTTGTATCAAGCCGGATTGGCACCTGCTTCATTAGTATATTGTATTTGGGCAGATAAATCATCTGGAAGTGGTACGATAAATTTCATCTGTTATTTAGTTGTTTTGTTGTTTTGGTAAAATGGTCGGTTCGGTTTAATATGTATATGCACTATTTTTAGGTGTTGGTCCATATTTGTCTGATGAATATCTAAAACTTAGAGAGGATATTCCAAATCTCACAATAAATGAAAGTGTCTCTACATCATTTTTTTCGGATAATTTATCAACAAAGATAAACGATGTAGTACGTCAACAGCAGAATGATTCACCTAAAAGCCGTGGGAATGACTTACCTAAAAGTCACGATAGTAAAGAACACGTTGAAAGTTCCAGCAGCAATAAATCAAAGTTTCCAAAATGGTTTAAAAAACCAAAATAATTTTTGTTTGCACAATTATATATTAATATTTTTGAACTTTAAGGTTTTGAGGACTCTAATGTTTTGAGGACTCTAATGTTTTGAGGACTTTAATGTTTTGAGGACTTTAAGGTTTTAAGGAGTTAATATAACGACATTATCAAATGTTTATTCGTACATCGTGGTAATATTATTGACCTTAGACTTATAAATAGGTGGTATAGAATAATTCATTGTAATTCTTTATTGTGTAATCTTGATAATTATTATTATTATTATTATCGTATTAAGTTCAGTATCTGTAGTTTACTTCAATTAGATAATACGCAATAATTAGAATTCAACATGATTTACAATGTCTTAATCATATATTCAAATTTCATGATAAAAAATATTCAAATGCAAATATACCTATATATACATTTTACCTATTAAAATATAAATATATCTTTCAAATGAGTTGTACTTTTGATATAGTAATATGAATTTAAAATTATTAAGTCAGCCACGACAATGGAATATGTTATTAATCTTAGTTGTATCTTTGTTTTAATTAATATCCCTTAAACTGTCCCATTATCAATGTGAAACGTGAAATATTCTACGATATAGATATACAATCTAATATAATTAGTCACGAAAAACGGATTTATGAATAAAATTTTAATTAATGCACATTAGAGAAAAATGTTAATCTTTCGCGTGTCTAATTTTTCGCGTTTGTGTCACATTACAGATGATCCTACAGGTATCGTGTCAATGAAATAAAAAAAAAGGTATTGAAGAGACGAATTTTCTCCCTGCTTACTTTCTTCCTATCTATTTTCTTTATATTTACTTTTATTTTTACATATTTTTCTTTACTAATTTAAAAGATATCTATATAATTCAAAATGCTCCTATGGTGTTTATGGTGTTAAGTTTTTTGCTAAAATTTAGGGTTAGGGTGCAGCTACAGGGTAAGATAGGGGTCAAATTTTAGTTAGAATAAAGTTTTTGGGGCTCTGAACATTTTTACTTAATACCCCAAGGTGTTAGCTAATAAGTTTTTGAGATATAGCAACTATGGTGTTTAACACCAATGGTGCATTTTAGTAGACCCGTATAATTCTTGATGAAATTGATTTAGTTTACTTCTTATTTACCGGACTCAGTCCTGATCAAAGACATTTATGATACTTATGTAAATTTAATTATGCATCATATCACTAGTCAGGCCTGAATCCGGTAAATAATAAATAACAAACTTGAATACTTGAAGTCTGGTTTTCCCCGATATCGCCAATATACGATATATATATTTTATATATATATTATGTAATAGTTATTTCACGTTTTATAATAGATATCATTAAAACATCGCGGGTTAGTCAAGATATTATGCATATTATGGTGTAGCCACAATGGAGCATGATATCGAGATTGATTCGAGATGATGTTTCATTGTCGACGACAAAATACATGTAACTGATTTATTACACCCATAACTTTATAACTTATTTTTCACCGAGTTTCTTTCCTTTTTCTTGTTTGCATTCTTTATAGATATTTATTACAAAATTTTCCAAAATTTCCATAACATAATCTAAAAAATCGACAAAGTCCGTCGTGAAAATATCGGCAGTGAAAAGATTAGTAAAAAAAAAGGTCCGGGGGAAAAATTAGAAGCCGTGTAATAAACTAATATTATCCTATTTAATCGTAAATGTCAAAAACAATGCGTAAAATAAAAGTTTCTAAAATAAGTACATAAAAGTTATATATATTACATAGATGGCAGGGGGATATTCTTGTAAATAGGATTTAGTTAGATTTGAAGATTCTTGGATAGATTTTTGGGTAGTACTCTGGGTAGTACTTCTTGGGTTTAGTAGAAATAGGGGGAAGTTTGTTGATCAGTTAAAGGTCTTGGTTACTTTTAGCGTCTTGTATATCAATAATAAATACTTGGTTTTTTCTCTTTAATGCTTAGCGACATTATAATCTGTGCTCGGTTATGCATGATTATGCATGATCTACAAATCAGATTTGAGAATCAGGTGTAA